TCCTAACTCCCTTAACGGAAGTAGGAGGAGGGAGTTTTGAAATAACTTCAATCTTCACTTTGTCCACTTCAATACCGTTCTTTAAGATCTTATGGCCGAGGACAATGCCCTCCTCGACCATAAAGTGGCATTTTTCCTAATTAAGCACAAGGTTTGTCTCTTCACATCGGGCCAACACTTTGTCAAGATTATCCAAGCATTCTTCAAATGATTCCCCCACAACACTAAAATCATCCATGAATACTTCGAGGAAGTCCTCCACCATATCCGTAAATATTGCCATCATACACCGTTGAAAGGTAGCCGGTGCATTACACAAACCAAACGACATCCGTGAGAATGCAAATGTGCCATACGGACATGTGAAGGTGGTTTTCTCTTGATCTTCCGGTGCAATGAAAATCTGGTTGTACCCTGAGTACCCATCCAAAAAGCAATAGTAGGCACGCCCGGCAAGTCTGTCCAACATTTGATCAAGAAAGGGCAATGGCAAGTGGTCTTTGCGGGTCACTTTGTTCAACTTTCTGTAGTCCATACATACCCTCCATCCGATGACAGTACGAGTGGGGATCAACTCATTTTTCTCATTTGTGACCATAGTCATACCCTCCTTCTTCGACACATATTGTATCGGTGAAGTCCGTGAACTATCCGAAATAGGGTACACAACCCCTGCATCAAGCCACTTGATAATTTTCTTCTTGACGATCTCTTTCATAGCCTTGTTCAACCTCTTTTGATGTTCCACGGAGGGTTTGGCATCATCCTCTAGTATAATTTTGTGCATGCAAAAGGAGGGGTGGAGTCTACCCTAAATGTCAGCCAAAGTCCATCCAATTGCCTTTTTCCTTCTTTGAAGCACCGCAAGGGTGGAGTCTACCTGCACGTTAGTTAGGTAAGCATAAAGAATAATAGGTAATGTGGAAGAAGGGCCTAAGAATTCATACCTGAGGTGTGAAGGCAAAGGCTTCAACTACAATGTTGGTGGCTCCTAGATTGAGGGCTTTGTTGGCAGAGTCTTCCGGTTTTCCAAGTCCAAGGAAAGTTTACGGGGCCCATATGAGTAGGATCCCATTCCTTGCAATGCATTTGCACATTCAACCAAGCCTTCCTTTTCATCATCCTCATGTTTTCACAACACAGCTTCCAAAGGGTCTTCCACATTGATCATGGCACTCGTGTCATCAATTATCACCTCCGTCACAAGATCCACAAAAGAGCAAACTTCATTGCTATTTGGTTGCCTCATTGATTTTCACACGTGGAATACAACTTTTTCATTGCCCACTCGGAAGGTGAGCTCCCCTGCTTCCACATCAACCAATGCCTTCCCTGTTGCTAGGAAAGGTCTCCCCAATATTATAGGCACTTCATAGTCGACTTTGCAGTCGAGAATTACAAAATCAGCAGGCAAAATAAACTTGTCGACTCGGACTAGAACATCATCAATATTTCCAAGCGGCCTTTTCATTGTCTGATCCGCCATTTGTAATCTCATGGAAGTAGCTCTTGGTTGCCCAATACCTAGTGTCTTGAACACGGAATATGGCATCAAATTAATACTTGCTCCAAAATCACACAAGGCTTTTGCAAAATCGGCGCTACCAATGGTGCATGGAATTGTAAAGGCACCGGGATATTCAAGCTTTGGAGCCATCGAGTGCACAATGGCACTCACTTGATGAGTCATTTTGATGGTCTCACAATTCATAGATGTCTTCTTGGTTACCAAGTCCTTCATGAACTTGGCATATCCCGGCATTTGTTCGAGAGCTTCCACCAAGGGCACATTGATTGACAAACTTTTCATCATCTTAATAAACTTCTTGAATTGGTTTTCATTATTTTGTTTTGCAAGCCTTTGAGGATACGGTGGAGGAGGACTTGGCAAAAGGGCCTTGGCTTTAGGCACTACCATTTCCGGTATGTCTATCACGTGTTCCCTAGACGGGTTCATATCATTTTGACTCTCCTCCATGTTGTCATCAATATCGATCCTCACTTCATCATTCATATTCTCATCATTGGCTTGAATCTCATCATCTTCTTGCAACACAACATTGTCACTCACAATCTTCTTTGGATTAGAGGTACTTGCATCTCCACCTCTACCGCTTCTTGTGGTCACTGCCATAGCATGACCTGTATTGTTCCCACCCTTCGGGTTTACTACCGTATCACTTGGTAGTGCCCCCTTAGGTCGAGTATTCAATGCTTTAATTTTATATTATTGTATGCTAAGTGTAAGCTAAGTACAATATTTTTGGTAAAAGTTTTCAAGTGTTAAAAGGCACTAGGGAAGTGACTTCCGCCTAGGTGAGTATCTAATGGGTATCAAGAATCTAGGACAAGCTTGTTATGACTGGGGTCGTGATATAACCATCACACATAAGTTCTTACTCTATACCTCTCGGTAGTTTGAGTGACTTTGCCCGATTTGGCTTTCTCAAGCCCAAATGGGTGTTCATACAATACAAGTAAAATTGGCTCAAGTCGGGTATTACTATCTCTAGGTTTAACCCTTTAATTGGGGCTATCAATCTCTTGAGTTCACCCCAATTCCTTGTTAGCCTAATTTTTCTAGACTTAGGCCCTCTTTTTCAAGAAGAGCCTAAGTCATAAAGGCACGAGTCAGTGTTTGCAACCACTAATTCTATAATTTTAGCATGAATTAGGCTAAATATCACTAACCCATAAACAATAAAGCCCTAAAATTCAAGATCCATTAAATACCCACACTAGGGTTGGGTCACAACCCTAGCTATGGGGTCTAACTACTCATAATAACAGCAGAAATCAAAGATAAAGATGAAATATAAGCCATAATATTAAAGTACAAAATAAAAATCTAAAGTTTGAAGGTAAATCTACTAAACAAAAGGAGAAAAATCAGCCGTTCATGTGCTCTGCTAAACAAAACTTAACCTAAAATTGATAAAAGGATTTATTTATACTAGGCTGAATTTTTCGAATAAAAATGCCCCTGCGGAGGATTTGCGGACGCGTAATTCTGACCGCGTCCGCGCTTGAGCTTTTGCGGCCGCATAATAATGAGCGTGGTCCGCGTTTCTTCAATATTGGGCTTGGATTGGGCTTAGTTTCGCGGATCGCATAATTTCAACCGCGTTCGCATGTGCTTCCATCGCGACCGCGTAATTTGGACGCGGACCGCGTTCTTCAGTTAAGCCCGACTTGCAGGGCCTCTGAACCTCAAGATGCGCTCTCAGCGGAATTTCCTTCGCTTCCGCGTAAGATCAATTCGCGGCCGCATAATTTGGACGCGGGCCGCGTTCTTCATTTGAGCCCAAACTGTAGAGTCTCTGAACCTCGAACCGCGCTCTCAGTAAAAATTCCCTCGTGGCCGCGCCTTTCCAACGCGGTCTGCGGTGATTTTAGTACTCAAAGCAGCTTCTCTGAATCTACTTTCGCGGACCGCGTAATAGTGGCCGCCTCAGCGGTGGTCCTTACGCGGCCGCGCTTTTTTGCCGCTCTCAGCGCTCCAGTCTCAGCCTTGGATTCGTGCAGGTTTGACTCCTTCATGAGTTGATTATGGATTCTTTGCCTCATTTTGACCAAACCCTGCAAGCAAGCACATTAAGTTAGTTTTCGGAAATACCTTTACGCATTTTGACCCAAAACCTAAGCAAAAGAGAGCAAATAATAGGCTAAAACTCCTAGTTATCATTAGTCAAAACTGTAATACTATATTATAATGAAACAGTAATATTTCTTTAACAGAAAAAAACAGAAACAGAAAATCAAAAGTAAAGCTGAATCTCGAAATAATCAAACATAATTTGAAAATAAATTTCGGAATGAAATTGAGCCCACCGAATGCACAGTGTATCCTTAAGAAAATTATTCCCCTCAAGTACCCGAGGTATTGGAATATTATCCTCCGAGGATAGAATAATTTAACTCACCAGAGTATCGGTACCAAAAACGCTGGTGAGTAAATCACACCGGAATTTACTTGTGCAGAAAAAAGAGAAGAAGTTCAGAAAAAGTTTCGTAAGGAAAGAATACTGGGATCAAGGCATATTTATATTCTGAAAAGTTTGCAACCTTTCAGAATCAATCATGGCTGTTGGAAAAACAGGTGGATCAATCAATCGATCTTTGACCGAATCCAAAGCCGAGCGAGCAACGACGGCATGAGGCTTACCTTCTTTCCAACCCGTTTAACACCAAGGGAAGTACTTTATCAATATAAGCACATTTTCTTTTCTTTTCACCACCAATGAGGGACAATTGCTCTTTCTAAATCACAAGAGAGCTCACTTTCCATTAACATTTCTTCCCTCCATTTTCCATGCACCAACCTTCAATCCCAACAACAATCAATTCATTCAACCAGCAAAGTGAATGAAGTTGGTGCGTAATTTCTAGGGTTGGTCGAGATGAAGGAAGGATTATAAGGCTAAACATAAAATCTTAGATCTTATCCAAAATTCCAATGCTACACTATTCTAGTACATCTTAGACGACGAAGAACACAATAAGTTTCAAGTATTCCTTTTCTTTTGCAAAGTTTGAAAGACATTATTATATTTATTATTTTGTTAGACATTAGAAGACCACTATAATTTCGCTCAAAATTTACATAGAACAAATTTCTTGTTATGTTCAGTTAATATAACACTCTTTTACTTATTGTCTATTCTAACAAGAGTGACAGTCATACAACAACAACAACTCAGTGTAATCCCACATAATGAAGTCTGGAGAGGGTAGTGTGTACGCAAACCTTATCCCTACCTTGTGGAGATAGAGACACTCTTTTAGTAGACACTCAATCATATTATTTGAAAACTCTTTAATCTTTTGTAGTACATTTTCTCTTTTGATGATACATTATTATATATACAAATTGACATGACATGTTGAAGATAAAATATGAAAGAAGTGTGATTTTGTAACTAAAAGTTCCCGCGCCAAATATATATATAACCTCATCACCTAACGGAAATTCATATTTCATTGACTGGTAGTTGCTCTGTGAGGGCTCGCTTCTTTCTTTTCATGACAACTTCAATCACAAACTATGGAGAATACGGATCTAATGGAAGCTCAACATCTCTCCCGCGATGAAATTTCCGATTTAAACTCACTAAACAGCTCTCAACTCGCTGATCTCGAGACTCTTCGCACTTCCAACCAAAGCCTAAAATCGGAGTTGACGCAAAAGGACGAACTCCTTCACCAAATTGAGTTGCAGAAGGACGATGTTCTCAAGCAATACATCGATCTTTCAGAGGCAATTAAAGAGGTCTCAAGCGAAAGAGACGGGCTTTGCCTCGCAATTCAGAGACTAGAGGATGATTTTCGCGTGAGAGAAATGGATTTTCACAAAGAAACAGAGAGAAATAACACCGAGCTCGAGGTTTCTAGGAAGAAAGCTGAGGAATTATTAGATGAGAAAAGAGAGCAATCAGAAGTTTGTATGCGTAATTTGGAGATTGTGCAATCAGCGAAGCACGGGTTACTGAGATTGGTTAAGAATTTCAATTCACGTGTGAATAGAACGGAAAGTTCTGATCAGTTAAAGTGCGAAAAAACAAAATTGTTAAATGAAGAGAAGGCTGTTTTTTCTGTGGAGCTGAAGAAGGTTCTAGAGCTGGCGAATTTGGTAGAGGAAAAATGGGGAGAGTATGAGGAAATGAGGAAAAAAGAGAAGAGAGAATTGGAGAACAGCGCGGCGAGTTTAGCGGAGGAGAATCGAGATATTAATAGCTTGCTTAGAATTGCTTTGGTTGAAAAGGAGACAGCGGAGAAGAGTTTGAACAGAATAAGGGGAAATACTGAACAGAAGAGAGGTGCCATTATGCAGATTGCAGAGAGAGGGTTGCAAAAGGTTGGGTTCGGGTTCGGGTTTATGATGGGAAGTGCAACCAGTGAAACATCTTCAGATAATTTGGATTCTGAAACCAGTGCTAAATCAGATAATGATGAATGCCAAACAGAAGCTGTCACTCTGGTAACATTTTTGGCCCAGAGCATCTATATACATACACAAAGAATGTGTATGTACCCACACACATTCGCGCGCGCACACACACATAGTACTTATATATGTAATAGACCTTGCTAACTCTGATGGCTCCAAATTATAGATTTGGTTCTGCATCTCTATGTTTGTCTTGACATTTGAAAAGAAGAATAGCAAGGTTACCCAGCGGTAAAGCTATTCAAATATTGAGATGATAAATTTCAGAATCAATAGTCATACAAACATAAAGATGTAGATAGATTATCAAATTCATTCTCCCCTAGCCATCTCTTTAGGTGGTTTTAAGCCTAATTTAATAAAATTTTGCGACCATATTCTTGACCTTGCAAATACACATATAGAGATTTTAGAAGAGAAGGTTTCGTCACCTTGACGGTAGTACTTTTGTAAGCTTGATTGGAAATCACTTGCCATGTTTCTGACTCATGTAATTTATTCATTGATGCTTACCAGGTCTCAACTGTAGAAACAATAACAAAGAAGTTAAGACTTGAAATCACACAATTGCAGAGGTCTTTGGAGGAATCTAGGTATTGTGCTGGCAAACTGCAGTTTTTATGTTCATAGTTATTCGTTATCAAGTCCACCTTCAAATTAGGTATTTCCTTTAGCTCTTTTCTTATACTTCATATTGCATGACTGCTTAGTGTCGTCTTAGATCAAGTTTATATAAAATATTATCCTTCAAATTTTACAATTGAGCTTAGACGTTGGAGCATGAAACTAGAATGTGCAGCAATAACATTAAACACAGTGCATAAATAAGCCTGGTGCTTAATAGCATTACATCGAATAGGATAACATTCTGATAATATTCTCTGAATGAGGCTCAATCAATTCGATGTGGTAAAGTGTACATTTTCTGCTATATATAGCATAGTACGATTTTGAAGCATCTTGTACTTTGTTAGTGAAAGATCATTTCTGTCAGACTGCAAGAAGTTCAAGAATGAAATGAAATCACCCTCTTTGATTCATGAAACTTCACATGCCCCCCCA